GAGGGGATGGGTCACTTCAGGTGTTTGATTTAGAAGTTACATTCTTTGTGTTTCATATTGTATATTCACTGTATTAAAGTCACTTTTCATTAAAGCTTTATATGTTTTGTCTTGTTGCGGCGAATGGCAGAACCCACTTAGAGCAGGCAGGTTTTGGGGACTTCAGGGGTGCCTCTCTCTGAATTGAGGTGCCCTATAACACCACCACCACCACCACCACCACACACACACACACACACACACACACCCTGTATCAGTATTTGGAGCTTCCCCTTCTCTCTCTCCTCCCAAACCACTCCCCCTCGAGTCCTATAACCCAGGTTCCATATATAGAAATTTCCACAACTCCCAGCTCCCTCTCTTCTTCCAGCTCATTTTCTTCACACAAAACCTCCCATAGCTACCTCATAGCTAGTTCTATGTCAGTGTATTTCCCTTGCTTCCACCCACACCCTGAATTCAGAATGTTCTTCGGTCTCTATCATCAGAGCTGAACCCTTCCAGACTGCTCTATTTTAGGGTTTCACATGTATCACAGTGCCATGCCTCGCGGCTCTCCTGTGGAGACGGCAGGTTCCCCCGCTATCCCAAAGTAAAGCATTTCTGTTTGGTTTTATGTGATGCTTTATTTTTAGGGTCTGAGAGCCCTCAAAAATTATTCCATATAAATTGGTAACAGTTTTCTCAGATCCCCAAAATAACCTATCACATTATACTGTTAGGAATGCTTTACATTGGGATAGTCAGGGCAACCAGGTGCGGCCAGGTTTCCAACCAACAAAATACCTTTATTCAGAAATGAGAGCAAATGCAACTTGATAAGTGCAGTTCCAGGGTTAAGGCACGCTCCCCACCTTACCCAAAGACCAGTACCCCTAGCCTCCCGAGGGGCAGCAGTGAGGAGGCGTGGCTGCCTTCCCTAGGGGGCGGAAACGACTTCACTTCCCATTGGTCACGCAAAGCATGTCGGGTCCTGTAGTTTGCTAATCAGATGTGCGCTCCCTGGTCTCGCCTCCTGACCTCATCTAAGTAGGTTTCAATATATTAATTTTCACACCTGTATAAACTCCTGTAGCGGTTAAATTGAGTTTCTGTGCCAAACCAAGTATTCTGAGTGTTGCTGAGACTTGCACAGATGAAAGAAACCTGCTCCTCTCAATCCTTCTCTCCAAATCTATGGTCATTAAATGAAGGAACAAATGCCTTATTATTTATCCTATATCTCTTTGCTGATGCTCAGAATTTGAGGATCAAATCAAACCGACAAACTGTAGGGAGGGGGGTTGCTGCTTAGTTTTGTAAATAAAGTGATTTGGAACTGGGGAAGGGGACCTCCTGTCTTAATTGAAAGGTTCATTTAGTTTTTTCATAGTTAATTTGCCATCCCCTCCCCCAGCCTGTTTTCATGTTGATCTGAAGATGGTGGTAATCTACATGACTCATTCACCCTCATTCTTTCCCAAAGCCTTCTCAGCCAACTATCCCACTGGCTCTGCTGGAGCCTCAGCCCACAGAAATGAATCGACAGAGCACTGTGCCAGGTACCTCGGGAACACCGAGGTGCTCCCGAGAGGTGCTCCTGCCAGCCATCCAGATCGGAGACACCAGTGTGGAGACTTGAATGCAGGGGTTCTAATTTCAGGTTCCACTGTGGCAGAATGTGGGTTTTCACAAGGCTTACCATCAAAGGGCCTATTTCTTCATCTGCAAAGACAGGACAATTTCTACCTTAGGGAAGAGTGTTTGTGAGAATGTAATGGAAGCTCTATTTGCAAAAGTAGTTTGTAATTGTAAAACCCTAGGCCAATAGGAAATGTAAAAACAAGCAACAAACAACAGCGGTCATAATACAAAACGGAATATGTGCTAAGTAAGTGGAAAGAAAATAAAGTAATTTCTGTTGAGCTGATGTAATAGGGAGGGAAAAAAAGACTCTCCGAGAAAGACTGAATTGGGTTCGAGGAAGTGGCCAGTGTGAAGAGAATTTTACCTGGAGCTGTTTTTCTCAGCTCGCATTCCTTTGCCTGCTCTCATTAAGTCACGCGTGTATTCTCCCACTGTCTTTCTTTTCTAAAATCCTTTGTGCCTCCAGTCTCTTTCTGGAGTCCTGGGACGGTCTCGTTTTTTTGCTTTTTTTTTTCTTTCCCTTTGGGCTCCAGGCGATGGTGATTACTCAGAGAGAATTTAATCCTCTTTAACCCTGGGAACACTGAAAGATCCCGGCGGTAGGCGGGACCCGCGGTTGCCAGTGCTGGTAAGGGTGGAGTAGCGGGGCGTGGTAGGTCTCGGTTGTAGGCTTTTTTTTTTGTTGTTGTGGACGCTCGACCTTGGTGGGCCCCACCGCTTGACCGGGCTGTTCCGCAGGCTTCTGTGTTGGTCGTGCGCACTCCGAGGAAGCGGAAATGCACCAGCAGATCGAGGCCTGGGCCCGGCGGGACCTGGGCAGGGTCTCAGTGGGCGCGAGCCCGCTACTGGGAATGCATGCGCCGGGTTGGGGCATCCTAAAGCCCCAGCCCTCGGAGTGAGTGGATAGAGGGTGTCTAGTACTACGCCCCTGACGTCTGCAGGAGAGGGAAGCACTGCGCCCCAATCTGAAGGAGTGTCAACGTTTGGGTCCCCTGGAGAAAACCTGGGCGAGTCTGGGGTGTGGCCTGGCGCGCTCACCTCTGGCGAGCACGCTGAGGACTGGGCGCCACGTCGGGGCTTCTGCAAGTGCCGAGACGGTCAGGAACCTAGAAGTGAAGTTTGGGACATCGAACGGTGGGGCATCGGGCAGTGTAGCCGCTGTCGAGGAGACCAGTTCTGAGCACATCACTGGGTTCGGTGGGTGATCATAAATAAGCGCCTGCTGCGCCGCGCAATGGGGAGCAGATCTGCCTTTCCTGCTGACTAGGGGAAGCCTCACCGCAGGAGCTCTGCCCGGGCGTTCAGTGACCGAGGTAAGCGCTGTGGCGGGGCCGCACCCGCCAGGGACCCTGACAGTTCGGCAGCTTTGGGAAGGTCCTTGAAGGATGGAGCCGAGCGGAGAAGGCTTAATGTGTTGGCATTGCCCGAGGGCCATTTAACTCACTAACGGGCGGACTACTCACTGGGCTGGAACACCGGGTGGGGGCGGACTGGGCGGACCCCAGCGAAGCCTCGCACGGGTGTTCCGGATTTCCGTCGTCCCGCGTGAGTGGATGTAGGACCCACTTTAGGATTTGGGTTAGAGAGCCATCGAGGGGTCTCACAGGACTGGAAGATGATGACATCGTCCATCGGGGAATTTACATTCTGGAGGGGTGGGACAAGCCTTGGAACACAGCGAAAAATCTGTTGAGTTACATACCCAGCCCCAGGTAGAGCTCTGGGAACTCGCGGATGTAGAAAGAACTGTAGGAGAAAGGGTGTCTGGAGCAATCCAGTGACCAGAAATCCAGTATCCAGAAAGGCTGGATACACAGTCATGCTCCCCGCCCCCTACCTCACCCTGCAAACCATCCTGCCATTTTAGAATCTGGATCTAGGACTTCTGCCTAAATGCTGGACTCGTCGAGTCTTTCCTTCTGGAGAACAGGCAAGGAGACTGTTACTGGAATTGTTTCAAAGTGTTACTTTTAACAAGGCTGACCGGAGAGTAGAATAGTCCAGAACTGCACACCCCACAGAAGGATTATGAATAGTCTTGAAAGGAGACTCAACTTCAGTTCATAGAAGTGCACCTTTCATGCCAACATTTCTTTAGCCATCCCAGTGACTCCAGTGTCAAATGCCCTTTCCCTTTTGCCACTAGTCAAAAAAAAAAAAAAAAAAAAAGATAGTGAAAGAGAAGAATCAACAGCTTTTAAGTCTTTATTCTTTTCATTCCATCTCAATAGGGAGAGGAAGTGGAGTTAGTGGCTGTCACAGGAAGGGGCAGTAATTCAGTCAGTTTGCTTCAGAATTGGACCTGCCCAGGGCGGAATAAGTGTTTGTTATTGGGTTCTTCTCACTATCATTCTTTACAAAGATCTGTGTATAGTAGACATCTACAGCATTGTGTATCTTTTTGGTCCCAGGTAGGATCTTAGAGAGTCTGTCTCCTCTGGTGTCATTTCACAATGAAACTACATCAGCATGAAGGGATTTGTATAAAGTGGTTTGTTGTGACGGATCTAGGACTGGTTGCCTGGGCCCAGACTTTCTTTTCAGAAAAAGGAGTTACTCTAGAGTTCTTTAGGACAGTGGAAATCAGGTGCTCCAAATTGTTCAGGGCTTAGGTACTAACTGCTGTGGATCAAGAGGATCCTTAAGCAAGTTACTGGGAGACTCAATTCTAAGTTTTTTAAAGTGGAGCCAGTCATTGGGCCCTCCCTGGTGACACAGCAGGTTAAAGCACAGCACTAAGAAGTTAAAGCCACTTCAGCATGAGTTCGATCCCTGTCCTGGAGGTGATCCACATGGTGATCCCGGCCTGCCTGCTGCTCCCCTCAGCAGTGTACTTCATTGATCTGCCTGCTCTGCTCCCCACTCTGCCTCTGGTGAATCCTCTCACCGCCCCTGCACCTCTGGCCTGTACCCAGTTCTGTATGCATAAATAAATAAAATCTTTTTTAAAAATGGGGCCAGTCAATGTTAGCTCGTGGGCTGTGTTGGGCTAATTTAATGTTGCAGAGCTTGGGTCAATAACTTGAAGTCTTCTGACCAAATAAAGATGCTGTTGTTCCTTACTCCCACTCTTGTGGATATGTTTTATTTTTTTCTGTTTCATTTCAGGTTTCTAGAGGTGGGCGCCAGCCAGTGGCTAGAAGCAGTAGCTCCAAGCTGCACTCCTGAGCAATGGCAGCAGACCCAAGGTGTCCAGCTCCTTGGACTCTGTAGCCTCGCCTTTGAGGAACCAAAGGCCTCCTCCATTGTGAAAGAGGGGGATTTGAAGGTGGAAAAGAACAGGAAAATAATCACTTGGAACAGATACATTGATCACAGGAAGAGGTCACATCACACTGGGGACTTTGCAAAGCCTCCCATTTGCTCAGTTACTAGGAGGTAGATAATAAACCGTGAATAAACCAGGAAGGGGTTTATTCAGCCCTGCTGGCCAGGCCATGAGTGAGTGAAGCTAGAAAGAGAAACCATGGAAGAGATGTTTGACCTACTGGAGCTGATTGAGTCTGTACAGAAACTGCACTCTGGGGTAGATAAAACAGACCTGCAGGAGTCCATGAAGAGGGAGTGCTGGTGGAAAGTGTGTGTGAAGGTGAGACTGAGACGGCGAGGAGAGACCTGGTCCTTGACTCTCTAACTCTTCATCCATTTCTTTGCCTACATGTCAAATAGAATCTCCCGGTAACACCCAGCACAAGGACCTGGTCTACAGCCTCTCCTCTTTACTTTTCTTCTTATTTTTATTCAGTATACATCCCACCTAGGCCCTCCCCATTTTTCTTACCTCATCTTCATGCTCTTTCCTTTCTATACATTAGAGTTGCTAGTTTGGGCCTGTCCTTTCATATTTCGCAAACCTGTGGTTTTTATCTCTCTCTGAGACTTGAGACTGGATGTCTGATTTCTGTATGTATACAGATTCCCTGAGTCTTTCCTGCTCTTCCAGAAGCCAGTCACCTTTGAGGATGTGGCAGTGAAATTCACCCAAGAAGAGTGGGAGTGTCTAGATGTCTGTCAGAGGGTCCTCTACATGGATGTTATGTCAGAAAACTTCAAAAACCTGGCGTCTGTGGGTAAGATGCTGGAGTTACCTCAGCAGTCCCTGTTCCAGGATATTGACACACCTGATTCTCCTGGCCAGGGAGATCAGCTTAATTAGCTTCATTGCCCCTTGGTTCTCTACTTTTCAGATTTGACATATCTGAGTCACTAAGCTCAGGGTAAAGGGAAAAGAAATAAAAGCCTAGACAAAGGCAAAGATAATGCTTATAACTTGATGACAGGGTTTTTGAAATATGCCGATTTGCTTATTGATCCAACCAAGAGTTATTGCATCATGCTTGTAATATACCAGGCCCTTGTTCGGAGCTAACCATTTTTTTTAAAAAAGATTTATTTATTTGTGCATACAAAACGGGTACAGGCCAGAAGTGCAGGGGCAGTGAGATGATTCACCAGAGACAGAGTGGGGAGCAGAACAGGCAGATTAACGAAGTACACTACTGAGGGGAGCAGCGGGCGGATCGGGAGAGGTCTGCCGCGCCATGTGGGTCATCTCCGGGGCAGGGGATCGAACTCATGCTGAAGTGGCTTTAGCTTCTTAGTGCTGTGCTTCAACCCACTATGCTACCAGGGAGGGCCAGGACTTGGCCTTTTGAGTGTCTCCTCTCTTTGTCTAAATGTTGCATGTTTCTTAAAACCATAGCTACAGAAGAATGTAGTTTGTTTTCCCATGTGGTATGAAAAGGTGAGTTCAACATTTTCTTTCTCTTTTTGTCTAATCTAGATCTTATCACCAAGCTGAAACAAGAAGAGGAACAGGCAAGCACAGATGTGTGGCCCCCAAATGGAGAAGGTGTCTTATCAGGTAAGAATTGCAAAGAAGGGGCCTTTTTGGTGGTGCAGGGGTTAAAGTCTCAGTGCTATCAAGCTATCACCAGCTGCTGTAATAAGAGTAATTAGATTCCCCCAAGCCTGGGGGCTGACTGGAATGGCACAGCAGACCTCTCCTGTCCTGCCCACTGCTCCCCTCAGCAGTGTATTTCAGTCAATCTGCCTTTTTTGCTTCCCATCTGTCTCTGATGAAATCTCTCACCTCCAGTACCTCTGGCCTGTACCCCAGTTCTTGTATGCATAAATAAATAAATCCTTTTTAAAATAAATCTTTTTTAAAAAATTGCAAAGGAGGGCCCTCCCTGGTGGCGCAGTGGGTTAAAGTGCAGCTCTGTGAAGCTGGACACTTTGGTGCAAGTTCGACCCATACCCAGGAGATGATCCACATGGCTCAGCAGACCTCTCCTGTTTCGCCTGCTGCTCCCCTCAGCAGTGAACTTTGTCGATCTGCCTGTTCTGCTCCCCACTCTGTCTCTGGTGAATCCTCTCACCCTCCTGCACTCCTGGCCTATACCCCAGTTCTGTATGCATAATTAAATACATCTTGTTTTTTTTTTTAAATGGCAAAGGAGAGAAGAAAACAGAAGGACGCTGCCTATATGGCCTCAGGAAACCCTGCAGGGCAAATGATTACCTTTAGTTTCCAGGGATTGAGAGACCACATATACCTTGCACATGTTGGTGATATGCCTTTAATGAAAAAGGCTTTTCCAAGAGAAAAGAAATGGAAAGGAGATAAGCTCAATGCTGAATTGGAGTAGGGAGACTTTTCCTGAGAGAAGAAAAAGGGGACAAATTCAAGGTCAGGCTGACCACATCTCCTGGCTTGTCAGGACCATCCTGGCTTGCACAACTCATGGAGAAGACTAAAACCTTGAGTATTCCAATTTATATGAAATTATGAGGTCATTTGTGGGTGTCTTTATGTGTGTGAGCAACATTGCACATGAGAACAAACAGATTTTAAGAAATGTGGCTAAAAGATAAGTATTTTATCTCTGATATTATATTTTTATTTGCTTTTAAACCCCTAAGGTTTATTCTAGTCTAGTCTATGAGGTCCAAGAAAGATGTTGGGTGAGAGAGTGGAGCAAGGATGGGGGGAATATCCTGGACTAAAGAGAGGGCTTTTGCTGTGGTTCTCATGGGGAATCGTGTGTTATTCTTCCACATTCACTACAGGAGTCAAGAAGGAGGAGCAGCTGCAGGAACAGAGTCTGAGTCCAAGAGGTGAGGGGAGTCACGATGACAAGGACCTCGTTTGCAAAGGGGGAGATCCATCCTCCTCTGCTCCAGCTGGGTCTGTGGACGGAACCCCAGTGGTCCCGGCATCCGAGGCTGGGCCACCCTTCTCCTGCCCCACGTGTGGCAGGTGCTTCAGCAAGCGTGCCAACCTGCACAGCCACCAGTTTGTTCACAATCCTAAGAGGACTAACAGTTGTGGCCAGTGTGGGAGGTCCTTTCGGAACCCCAAAGCCCTCAGCTACCACAGACTCATGCATCTTGGGGAGAAACCCTTCCATTGCTCACTCTGTGACAAAACCTACTGCGATGCTTCTGGTCTGAGTCGTCATCGCCGAGTCCATCTGGGTTACCGGCCCCATTCATGCCCCTCCTGTTCAAAGTGTTTCCGGGACCAGTCTGAGCTCAAACGCCACCAGAAGATACATCAAAACCAGGAGCCCGTGGCTAGAAACCAGAAGCATATTGTGAGGATTCCAGGCACCAAAGTTGGGTTCCAGAAACATAATTTCAGGAGCCAGGTGTCCACGCAGGGACTTGCAACTGGAAACCACACACCAGTGGCCAGGACCCAGGACCCCAAATTGAGAACCAAGGGTCCTGTGACTCAGACCCAGCCACGTACAGACAGGAGCCAGGCACCTCTAGCCGAGAAGCAGGGGGTCTCTGTGCGAACTCAAGCCTCAGTAGAAGCAACCCCGGGGCCGGCCACCAACGGGCACGTGTCCCACACCAGCACTTCCTGCCTGGAAACCAGCTCCAACTCTCACACAGGAAAGCTTTCGAAACGCAAGGTCTTTTCTTGCCCTCACTGTCCCTTGACTTTTAGCAAAAAAGCTTATCTCTTCAGCCACCAGAAAGCCCACCTCACACAGCAGCCTCCCTGCTGCTTCCGCTGTGGTGAGTCCTTCAGCTCCTTCTCAGAGCTGGCCAGGCATCAGCAGACCCACTGGAAGCAGAAGATCTACTGCTGCCCTGTGTGTGATGTCTGCTTTGGGGAGAAGGAGGGCCTGGTGCGTCACTGGGGAAGTCCCAGTCAGTGCTGGATGGTCCTGGGTCAGAGGCTTGGCTTCCCCATGGCAGGGGAGGAAAAGACCCTTCCAGGACCCATCCGCCAAGGGGATGAAGGTGGGGAGGTCAGGGAGAAGGTAGGTGGGGGGAAGAAAGCAGACGAGGCGGTGAGGGTCTTGAAACGTAAATAAATGGCCTTTCTGACTGAGGTTTTTTGTGTTTGGTTTTCCTGAGGATGGACCTCCAGGGAAGAAGGCTGCACTGGAAGAGAGAAGGTGATGATGTTTAGAGAGGAAGGAAGAGGGGTGTGAGGTGGTACACAAACTCATTGTTAGTTAGCACCGAGCTTGTTTCTTTGTGTCTGATAGATCATTGAGTAGTAATTGTTGCATAAAACAGTGCTTTGGCAGGCCTGCCCTCCTGGTGCAGTGGGTTAAAGCGCAGCACCATGAAGCTCTCCGCAGCCACTTCACTGAGAGTTCGATCCCTGGCCCCAGAGGTGACCCACATGGTGCGGCAGACCTCTCCAGACCATTTGCTGCTCCCCTCAGCCGTGTACTTCATCCATCTGCCTGTGCTGCTCCTGTTCTGCCTTTGGTGAATCCTTTCACAGCCCCTGTACCTCTGGCCTGTACCCCAGTTTCTATGCATAAATAAATAAATCTTAAAAAACAAAACCAAACCATGCATATGCTGATGGGTATGAAGATGGCAGCAAACCAGACAGTGTACAGGGGGTGGCACTGAGCCATCTAAAGCAGGGTGCTGCCCAGCTCTCATCCCTTGGCCGCTGGGATGGGCTGGATACTGTGGGTCTCCCCAACTCTAGTGTTGGGTAGGGATCCCATATCCTCACCCTGCAGCTGCCTTCGCTCTCTTTCTGAGGGTTTGGATTCTTCCAGTTTTTTCCCTCTACCTCTGCACCGCCAAGCACTGCCCATCAGGGCTGAGGTCATGGAAGAAACACAACAACATTGACGCACTGACATTTGCTTCAAGGAGGTTCCTGGCCTGCATTTCGTTTAGCACAGAGACCCTCCCGGCTGCAGTCTTCAGCAAGGTGTCTACTGGGGAGAGAGATGCACCCACCTGGCCAGGCAAAGGACCAGGGAGAGAAGTGGAGAGACCAGGATAGCAGAAGGGGACAAAGAAAGGAGCCGGGAAAAGGCCAAAACAGTTGATGACAGAAGAGACAATTCTGTTTGGAAGTCAGTATTCCTGGGGGAGTAGGTGCGAATGTCCCCACGGTGAAGAGACCAGTGAGCATTCAGCCTGATGATGCGACATATCCCCAAGGGCCACTCCTTGGACATACTGGGCTTGCCTTCACCCCTGCCAAGATGCAGCAACACTCAGAAGGGGTTTCCTAGGAGGAGGAGGAGGAAGAGAAAAAAAGCTTGAAAAATCTGTGAGTAGCTTCTATCAATGAAACCATTATACCCGAAGCGAACAGCCCCCTGGGCTGCTGTAGGGAATGGGTGGGAGAGGCAGCTATGCTAAGGGACAGTGAGGTGGAGAAGTCAGGCAGCCACTGTATAACTTGTCCCATGGGGCCCTCCCTGGCAGCACAGAGCAAGTGAGCAGAACAGCAGAGCAAGTGAGCTGCAGCTGCTTCAGTGAGTTCGATCCCTCCTCAGAGGTGATCCAGACTCAGCAGTGTACTTTGTCCATTGGCCTGTTCTGCTCCCCACTCTGTCTCTGGTGAATGCTCTCACCACCCCTCCACCTCTGACCTGCACCCTATAGGGTTCTGTATGCATAAATAAATAAATCTTTAAAAAAATATGTTCAAGGGCCTTCCCTGGTGGCACAGCAGGTTAAAGCACAGCACTAAGAAGCTAAAGTCACTTCATGAGTTCGATCTCTGCCCCGGAGGTGACCACATGGTGCAACAGACCTATCCTGACCCGCCCGCTGCTCCCCTTAGCAGTGTGCTTGGTAGATCTGCCTGTTTTGCTCCCCACTGTGTCTCTGGTAAATCTTCTCACCACCCCTGCACCTCTGGCCTGCACCCCAGTTCTGTATGTATAAATAAATCAATCTTACAAAAAAACAAAACAAACAAAAAAAACTATGGCTGCCTTGAGTCCACCACACAGGAGCCCTCCCTCCACCCAGGTCTTGCAGCCCCTCCTTCCTCTCCATCTTGACCCCTCAAGTGGCCCTCCTTGTCCTGTGCTGTCCTGACCCCTCCCCTCAGCTTGTAAGAAGAAGAGAACTTACTTAGCTCTTCAATAAACTGCCCTGCAAACAAAGAGAAACCAGTTGGTGACTGGTAGAAGGTGACTCTCTCCCCACTTTGTCTTCCCCGTGGAGGTTCCACCCTTCCCTTCCACAAAGGCCCCCCAGAGATCTCAGGGGTGGCTCTCTGAGGAACCTGGGCAGTCCGTGGGGCCAGCAGGAAGGAGACCCCCGCTCAGGGGCCCCTTTTGCTGCCTGGGATTGCACCTGCAAGTCTCCGATGCAGCCAGTTGTAGCAGATGATCAAGGCAACCAGGGGTCCGAGCACCGGCACAATTACGAAGAGGGATATCTTCCAGCAGGGCACCCTCAGAAAGTGGGGGTCTGCATTGTTGACCACAGAATAAACAAGGTTAGTGTGTTTCCCGTACACCCCAACCTTTCTTCTCCATTTAGTATTTAGTATTGAGGTTCTCAACCTGGGGGCCAAGAAGATTGAAGGAGCCCCCAGTGAGATCTAGGGAATAAGTCTGTGAAATTAGGTAAAAAAAAAAAAAAAAGGCACTATGTTTGTTTCTATGATCCTCAATTGAATTTAACATTTTCTTCCATAAAAAAAATGTAGTCAGGGCCCTCCCTGGTGGCACAGTGGGTTAAAGCACTGCACTATGAAGCTCTCAGAAGCCACTGTAGCACGAATTCAAACCCCAGCCAGGGAGCTGACCTCTCCTGGTCCATCCGCTGCTCCCCTCAGCAGCGTATTTCTGATCTGCCTGTTCTGCTCCCCGCTCTGTCTCTGGTGATTCTTCTCACCCACCATACCTCTGGCCTGTACACCAGTTTTGTAAACATAAATAAATTAAATCTTAAAAAAAAATAATGTGGTCAACAGGGGCCTCCCTGGTGGCAAAAGGAGTTAAATCGCAGCACTGTGAAGTTATCTGAAGCCACTGCAGCACGAGTTTGATCCCCGGCCAGGGAGCTGACCCACATGGCATAGTAGCCCTTTCCTGACCTGCCCGCGGCTCCTCTCAGCAGTGTCTTTTAGTCCATCTGCCTGTTCACTGTTTCTCTGATGAATCCTCTCATACTCTCCCCCCATGTCTGGAATACATCCAAGTTCTTGTATGCATAAATAAATAAATCTTAAAAAAAAATTGTTGTCAACAGACCTGTGACTTCACTAATGGAAACCACAGATCATTTCATTTCCATTAAAGTTTCAGAAATCTCAAAATATTGCTTAAGTTTATTTGTACTTTGAAATGACAAGTTATCAGATCTACTACATTTATTTAATGTCTTTTATTTAAAAAAAACATTACTATATCACGATGCATTTCTATTGTAATAATGATACATCAATATCATGATTTTCTTTGTACTCTATCTTTCTGTGTGTTCTGTTTCATGCATGCATTTACCCACTCTGGGAAAGGATCCACTGGAATCCACCTTTCTAGCAAATGTATTCTTGTTTAAAAAAAAAAAAAAGTGAAGAACTTGTTGTTTAGGTCCTATAACAAACATCTTATTTCTTCCCTTCAGATGTGCAGAAACTGTGTGGGCAGAGGACTTGGGGGGAAGTTGTGTACACACTGATACTAGCTTATAGAGGCCAGGTTGGAGGGCCACACGCTGGGTGCCAGAGATGCCCAGAGCCCTAGTAGAAAGGCCCCTGAGGCTCTTCAGGCTGCTCAAAGCAGGGTTCATCTCTGTCCCGATTTAGGACATAATTTCTGGAAAATCCATTCAAAGATTTGAGTGCCTTTCTGCTATAGGCATTGACCTGAGACGTAGAAATCTGCAATGAACAAAAACAAAGGACGGAATCACTGAGGTTTCAACATTTTAGTGTGCCCTGCTATCTTTATTCTTCCTCCAAGAAGTCTTCCCTGATTAATTATAGTCACTTGTCCTGCACATATGAAAATTGTGTCTACTGTGTTGAGTGCCATCTATGATATGTGTAACTTTGTTGTCTAGTTAGTTTATGTACTACCTCCACAACTAGACATCAAGTTCACCTGCAAAGGGTATGTTTACCTCTCCTTTGTAATTCCTAAAGGGAAAAATGGCACGCATACAATGCTTCTAATCCCTTCCAAATGAGTAAACATCGAAAGCTAATAATGGAGTGTCTGGCTCAGAAATGTGTAAGGTAAGTCCTTGCCACAATATCACTGTCCTACAAGCAGGTGATGACTATTCAAAGAAAGAAAAAGAGGGCCTCCCAGGTGGCACAAGGGATTAAAGTGAAGCATTATGAAGCTATCACCAGCCTCTGCAGCAAGAGTTCAATCCTGGCCAGGGAGCTAACCCACGTGGTACAGCAGTCATCTCCTGTCTCACCCGCTGCTCTCCTCAGCAGTGTATTTCAGTCAATCTGCCTGTTCTGCTCCTCACTCTGTCTCTGGTGAATGTTCTCACACTCTGCCTGAACACAAACACCTCTGGCCTGCACACCAGCTCTTGGGAGAGGGAAGGAGAAAACCTGTCAGCCAGGGCCAGGCATCCTTGTTTCCCCAGGTGTCTGGAACCTAGTGAACAGAGAGCTGACCTGGGAGGTTCAAGTAGCTCAGCACTTACCAAAATTCCGGTGGAGATTCTCTAAAAGAGAAACAAATGGAAAGGGATTTAGTAGGACACTCAAAGGCACTCTCCAGCTGAGTTTCTAAGTCATGAGTGACCTGGGAAAGGAAAGGAAGCTACGGGACTTTACTTCTACCCTGGCGGAAAGCCGGGAAGGGCAGTGAGATTTTGGACAAGTCTTGGTTGTTCATAGGGAGGTTTTGGATAATAAAGGGAGCGGAAGGTATTGGGACTTAAGCGGTGGCATGAGGAAGCAGGAAATGACCATTGCAGTTATGCCAAACTCTGAGAAAGCAGAAGGGTGGGTGGGGGAGGGGGAGGGTGCCGGGAACTCACCGATCTCCGCTCGCAGTTTCCCTAAAATAAAAAAGGGCAAATTTTTAGTCCCTGCTCTGGCAGTAGATGGGGACACTCCCACCCCAGGCACCTGGGCCTTAGTGTAGGCTGTTTCTTGCCCCTCAAGGTCATCCTGAGGAGGAGGGATGAACTCTGCATTTGCAGTCTAGAACTACACTCCCCTGGCCTTTGTCTGGACTAAATGTTGGGATAAGGGATACAGAGACCTCTGCAACAAACTGTCCCAAACCAACATCTACCTTTTGCCCTTTTGCTTTGTTGTTTTTTTTTTTTTTTTTTTTTTGTGATTTTCAGTTCCCAGTGTCCAGTGTCACCACCTGGCTGTGTTGTCCCTTTGTAAATCTAAAGCCACTTTCCAACTGAAAGAGGAAGAAACAACTAAAGAAACCGTGAAGCAGTGACCATCTGTGCGCTCTGGAAGCTATATGTCACTTTCCCCTCTTCTCACTGCAGGGGGTCGCAGCTTGCCTGACCTGAAACTGAAGCTTGGAGGACTCAGTCCATGCCTGAGCTGGATTCAAACCTAGGCTGCCCTGCTCTATCCATCACGTTCTTTTTGCTCAGCCTCTTGGACTGTCACCCTCACGTGGAAGAAATGAGTACTGGGAAGAATTCAAAGGGAGAGAACGAACTTCATTGGTGATCACAATGGTATCCTCCCTCACAAACCCAGCCTGGCTGCTTTATCCACCTAGTAAAGGTAGGGGAAGGGGGAGAATGTTGAAGGTGCCCAAGGTTGGTGCCTAGGTGAGTACTTGGTGGAGTCAGAAGGATGGAAGGAGCTACTCTGCAGCTGAAATTGAGCCAACCGAAATGAAGAAGGAACAAACTCGGACACCTATCACATGGGGAGGGCTTTTATCTACAGAATAGCTCACTTTCGAGCCCTCCCTGGTGGCGCAGCGGGTTAAAGCACCGCACTAAGAAGCTAAAGCTGCTTCCGCATGAGTTTGATTCCCGCCTGCCCCAGAGGTGACCACATGGTGTGGCAGACCTCTCCTGACCCGCCCGCTGCTCCCCTCAGCAGTGTACTTCGTCGATCTGCCTGTTCTGCTCCCCACTCTGTCTCTGGTGAATCCTCTCACTCTCCGAATCTCTGGCCTGTGCCCCAGTTCTGTACGAATAAATAAATAAATAAATCTTAAAAAAAAAAATGTGTTAAATGGGCTCTTGTAAGTCAGCCCGACCACACAGACAAATGTAAGCCGTATAACTTCTATGAAAGCACTCGGTAAACTTTGTTGAAGTTCTGAATCCAGATCTCACTCGAAAATAAATGTTAGTAGACCAAGTTCTAAGGCAGCATCTCATTTCAAGAGTAGATCCCAGGCCCTCCCTCCACCCCCGCCCCCACCCCCACCCGGGTCCGTACCTCTGAGTCTGTGCTGCAGGCAGAGGAAGACCAGGCCCACAGTGATCTGCACCAGGAGCACAGGAAGTACCGCCAGGAGAACCAGCACCCCGGGGTTGATCCAGTAGAAGGGATCTGCAAGGCAGAACCACCACATCCACAACCCAGCAGACCCAGCGCTCCAGCACCCAGCTGGATAAAGGTACACATGTCACCAAGATTCAAGGAAGGCGCTACAGAAGTGACCCCTGAAATCAGTCTTGAAGGAAATGTGGGTTTGGAAAGGCTCGTGGATTACAACCATGGGAGGGCAGGTTACATTTTGGGCCAGTCGTGGAGTTTTGAGAACTACCTAAGGGATGAAGATCTGATCCTCAAGTGCATGGGGGTTCAGAAGGATCCCCAGCTGAGGGAAGCAAGATCTGGAGCACTGGAAAAAGGGAGCAGGTCAGGTAAAAGGCCATGGTAACAGTGAAAGTAAAAAATTAAAAAATAGCATAAGCCTGAAGTAGGACAGTGGTAGAGGTGTAGAAAATCACGAACTTTCATAGGAGAAAATGCATATTTATTTCCTGTAATATCTTTTAACTGAAATTTTGTATTTCTTTCCATTATGAACAGAACCTTTTAAACAAGATTTCTTTATTTATGCAGACAAAAACTGGGGGATAGGCCAGAGGTGCGGGGATGAGAGAAGGGTATGGAACTGGTGCTGCAACAGCTGTGGCTAGCTTCATAGTGTTTTGCTTTAACCCGTTGTGCCACCAGGGAGGGCTTATCTTATTACAATATTTTAATAACTATTTTTCAGTACAAAAAAATTTTTTTAATGCTTTGAACATATCCCGAGACAGGGCCTGCCAACTTCACCAGTTGGGCAAATGGACACATAACAGATAAAAAGATCAAATCTTATAGAGCTTTTGAGAAAGTAAGACCACAGGGTTTACTACCTGCGAGGATGTGGTAGGAGACAGGTGACGAGGGCGGGCATGACCCCTCAGTTCTGCAGCTCCCACCTATTTCTAATTGCAGTTTGCTGCTTAATCCAAGGGCTGCACCTGCCTAATTAGGCTCCATGTGCCTTGCTGTGGGTCAAGCCCTTGCGTCTTGCTCTCTGCTTTGGGAAGCAGATAAAGGTGGTGCCTTCAGGCATAGGGACTGAGTCACAGCTCCCAACATTCAATGGACCCTGGATTTCTAGGTACAAGAACAATCCTTCGAACTGCAGGTTAAAGCTCCAGTCTGTTATTAAGTTCTCCAGAAGAAAACACATTAAACTCTGCTTTCAAAGTTCTTATTAAAAGTTACTTGTGGGCCCTCCCAGGTGGC